ACCGTGCAGATTCCACCAGCCACCTAATGAAAGAAGGGCCCACAAGTTGCTTATTTGTCTTAGCTGTCTTATTTGTCTCTTGCTTATTTGTCATATGGTTAATTACAGCATATGCTTTTTGCTTCAATCCAATATTCACCACTTCAAATATTGGGTTAGGAAAAGGAGCTCATGTTTTGTTAAGACTGCTAGGAAGATACAAGAATGACCACTTTATGTAGTACATCTAAGAGATGTTCTACATGCAAAGGATCATAGAGTTTGCAGTCAAATTGCCTCTCTGCTTACTCAGCAGAAGGTTTTCCAAGAGGCCTATGAAGCTTAAGTCTGAGAGTCCCTCACTTGCATAATTCCCTTCAAAACTAAGCATGAGATCCAGCACATTTGTGCACATAGCATATATTCATAATATATATTATCTTGAAAAAAGAAGCCCCCAAATGCATTTCAGCTCAGTTCAGTTGCTCAGTCAAGTCCAACACTTTGCAACCCCATGGACTGCAGCATGCTAGGCTTCCCTGTCCATCACCAACTCCCAGAACCTGCTCAAACTCACGTCCATCGAGTTGGAAATGCCATCCAACCATGTACGCTTTTAGGTCAACAAATATTGTCAATACTCCTGCCACTTCTGGCAATGTCGGTGGAATACAAATGTAGGGAAGCCTGGTGTGCTGCAGTCCATGAGGTCATAAAGAGTTGGACACCACTGAGTGACTGAACAACAACAGCTACATAAGTGGGGGTCACCTATTTACATCTGACTCAGTTTCCTTATCAATAAACAGAGACAATAAACACACCTTCCTGGTTAAAAGGATAGAACGCCTTAGCAGAAGAGTCTGATGTGGATTATTGTTTTTATTTCTCTCTCTTTGTACTCATGTCACTTTACTAAATCCATAGCAATCTTTCTGGAATCTACTGAATATGACTCTCCCTAGAATGGTCTTAAGTGTAGGGATGAGATTATCCATAAATAAATGTTCATTAAAATTACTTAAGGAAAGACAGAGTGATGAACGCATATGTAAATCATCCAATCTGCATGTCATTTTCTCTTCTGGAGAATTTAAACTGCTATTTTGTTAAATTGCTCTATGAATATATTTTCTGCCTCATAGAAAATCATCGAGAACTTGATTGTATCATATTCATTCCAAAGCCAAAAAATTGAAGCTTTATCTTTCAAAAATATTTAAGTATATATTTTATATTAAAAAACAGAATGGAATAACTCAATGACTCAACATTGGATAAGACTTAGGAAGCAAAATGGTAGAAAATACCTGGAACTCCCAGGCAGAAAGCTCATTGTTATTCTGTGTTCTGCTTCTCAAATCTCAAATTGAACAAAGTAAACAGATGAAAGACCCTGGTTTAGGCAGAAACAATAAGAAAGGGTTCAGGGAATAAGAAAATCAATATATCCCAATTCAGTAAGCATTTTCACCCCAGGTTCCCTTAAAACACAGTGAGAGAGATGCTCATACCTTGAGGAGAGAAAGAAGACAAAGAAAGGTACAGACACCACCAGCTGCAGGGTGCGCCACTCTCGAAAGACAAAAGCCAGTCCTCCCAGCATCATCTGTCCAATACTAACAGCACAAGTTATCAGCATTATTACCATGGCTTTAGACTGGGGCCTTGTCCACTCTGCAACTAAAGGAAAACCCAATTCGGATATTAATGTCATCTAAGGGTGAAATTTCAAGATCAAATTCAAAGCTTGGAAAATGAAGAAGGACAAAACTGTTGACTTACTGAGCATCCAGTTATTTGTTATGATGGCCACAGCAGAGCAGCCTGACCAGAAGCGTAGCAAGCAGTAAATGAGGAAGGTGGGGGCAAAGGCTGTGCAGGTCCCAGAGATGGCGAACTGGAGCAAACAGCACCTGAGAATCAACTTCCGCCCAAACCTAAGAAACAGAGAGTCAGCTTAGATTATGGAGGTAGTGATAATTTGTGGTGAAAAATTGAAAAGACATACTCTGAAGTTTAGAGAATGTTTTAATAAGTGATTCTTTGTATCTGGAAGCTTGAGTGCACAAAAGCCAGGTCAACAATGGGAATTGCTTCAAGGTGACACTCCTTGTTACCTAAATAAGTAGGTATAATATTATAACACCTAAACAAGTGTTATAATGTTTTGGACATTACCAAAGCTTCATCACCCAGTCACCAGGAGACCCGACCCAGGGATCAAACCCAGGTTTCCTGCAATGCAGGTAGATTCTTTACCATCTGAGCCAGCAGGGAAGCCCACAAAAAAAGCTACAGCATTGGAAATTATAATATACTATAAGCACTCATTGTACTAACTTATGTATTTAGCAGAGTAGAGAATCTCTGTAGTGTGTAGTGCTGTGGCCAGCACAGCAGGTAGGGATCAAAAGCAGTCGACGTACAGTTTGGAAAAAAAGAAACTAGAGACAGAATTAAAGTTTTAAAGATGGGACTGGGAGACTCAAGAGCTCTTGGGTCAAGAGCCCTGCTCCTCAGAGTCACACCACTTTTATTTAGTGTCTTTGCAAGCAGAAAGTATATCTATTGTGTTACAATGAAGTCAGCTTCCTGTGTCCCTGGTCACATCTCCCATTTTGTTGATTACTATAAACTATCTTTGTTATTTTCTTGTACAAGGGCTACCATCTAGCTGGAGGTCATAGACTAGCATATGCCTTGGGAAAACATCTTAGTGTGCGCACAAGCAGTGTTCTGAATTTGTGGTGATCTGGCGTTCCAAGGTCCACACTATGTTTTTGCTTAGTTTAGCAAGGTATGACAGCCCCAACTGATCAACCCAATGTACTTTAATTTGGGTTATACTGTACTGCTATATTTTGCTTTTATTCTTTTCCCATGGTGATTTTCTCATGGCTTAGCCAGAGCAACAGGCAGCTGACTGTTAACCCGTGCAGTGTAGGACACAAGAGGGCTAAAAGTTACTTTGGTCTCCAGCACCAGACAGGTTAAGATGCAACTGATTCAAAAGATCAGTGAAACAATGCATCAAAGTTGTTAAGGTTTATGTTAGAGTCACACTAAATTTCCATGTATTTGTAAAAATTCCAGTTTTCCTTCTGCTTCTGTTTTCTAATTTCATTCTGTTGTAATCACAGAAAATATTTTTTAAAAAGGTTTTTAAAATAACATTTGTTTCTTAAAAGTTAACACATGCAAAAGAAGTGAAAAACTAAGTCATTCATATTCACAAGCAGTTTACCATTTGATGTGTTCTTCTAGGTCTCATTTGTGTATTTTCATAACTAAGCATCCATTTTTATGTGATTAAGATCATACAGTTATGTATCATGCTATTTCACACATCTTGAATATTTGCCATTAACCAAAAATACACTGTGCTTAGTCACTCAGTCATGCCCAACTCTTTGCAACCTCATGGACTGTAGCCCAATAGGCTCCTCTGTCCATGGGGATTCTCCAGGCAAGAATACTGGAGTGGGTTGCCATGCCCTCCTCCAGGGGATCTTCCTAACCTAGGGATCAAACCCAGGTCTCCCACATTGCAAGCGCATTCTTTACCATCTGAGCCACCACTCAATCTTTAAGGAAAAAAGCATAATCATGCCTTTCTTGGTGACAAAAATTTCAGAGAAGACAAAAATGGCAACAGGCCTCTGGACAAAGATATTGGCAGAGCTATGATTGAAATACTACATTCACTTCATGTTCAGTTAAAAATGAGACATAAAACAGCAGAGTACAGAAAGTATAGTGCTTCTAAGAGGATTCATTCTCCAAATTCAGCTATTAAAGTATTAGCAAGGAGATGTGTTTTCATTGAATTAATTACTTAACAATGCATTCCTATAGTACAGCCAGGAGACACACACATCAATGGTTATCATCAAAATGCAAATATGAACACATCCACACACAGCCTTCCCTCTATATTTCCTTCTGCCCCTCTGCTGCCAGACTAAATTAATAAGTCATGACTCACATTTCTCAGAGATGGTTTAGCAATTCCATGTCTAAGATGTTGCCTTTTATTTTTATGAATTAGAACAAAAAATATTTACAGATTGGTTAATTCATTAGTCCTACTTTTTATCATACATGGTCACCTCAGGATATCTAAAAAGCCAAAATCTTGCAAAATTTTCTGATTTTTGGCTTTGAGCCCCATACATGGTCAAGTTTGGAGAATGCTCCATGAACCGAATGTGTATTCTTTCATCAAGAAGGGATGAAAGAATCCATGTCTGTTAGCTCTAGTAGTTTGTAGTGCTGCTCAAGTCTTGTATTTCCTTACTATTCTTTGGCTTAGATGTTTAATCCATTACTAAAACTGAAGTGTTGACGTTCTCAGCTATGAATAGAGAACTACTTTGCCCTTCAGTTACATCAGTGATTGTTTCATATATTCCAAGGTTCTTTTTTTTAATGCATTGTTATGATTCAGTCTGTAAGATGTGTCTGACTCTTCTCAACTGCAGCATGAACTGCAACATGCCAAGTTGCCTTGCCCTTCACTATCTCCTAGAGTTTTCTCAAACTACTCAAAGCAACCTACAGATTCAATGCAATCCCTATCAAATTATCAATGGCATTTTTCACAGAACAAGAGCCTCCTGTCTTGGAGCACCTTCCTCTTCTTCCACTTGGTAACGCCTGCTCAACTTTATAAATGAAGTTTATGGTAGTTCACCTCTAAGTATTATTCTGAAATTCCCCTCAGACGTTATGGAGGTGACATTTCTGTGTTAAGTAGAGAGAGCCCAGTGGCAACAAAATGGCATCCATCAGAATGAGTCTAATTCTACATTTCCACCTATAACTTCCTGGGAACCACGGCAACCCGCAGTGTGAATTGCGCATTGGAACTCAGTAATGACTTCCCTATGGAACAGTCATAAACTGAAAACACACACTGGAAGGGCAGCAGTGATTGGGAGACACTCACCTGTCTGAGAGATGGCCGTAGATGAAGGCTCCCAGCTGCATTCCAGCCATGAATACAAACTGAACCACCGATTTCTGTGACTGGTGATCACATACGAGGTCCCACTGGAAGAGAAGGAGACCAACACAGAGGAGCTTAACAGCATTTTAAAGCCTCAGTGAGTACATTCTGCTTTGTTTTCCTACATTTACTCACCTATACTATTTAAGTCCCAGTTTAAGCTTGGCTTTTCTAGAAATTCTCAACTCAATCTTTCAGATTTTATCAGGACCAATCTTTATATTCACTTAGCACTGCATACCTCAGTGATTCTCAATCTTTTCCATACACTGAAAATAGCTGAGTTGTGTTTTTTTTTTTATCACTGATATCTGGATCACATCTAGAGTGAAATACACTGATTTGTTTCTCTGACAATTAGTCAGGAAATGGAATTTTTAAAAGTTAATAGAAGTACTTCCAATTACAACTAGACTGAGAACATGCAACTAAAAATAATTTTTCACACATTATATCAAACTTGTACTTATCTAAACATCACCTCTTCATTAAATTTTTAAGTTTGGTGACAGTAAAATTCATATCCAGTTTGCTGATTTCCTCATTCTCAATTGTAATTAAAAATGAAGTGGAAGTGTTAGTCACTTAGTTGTGTCCAACTATTTGTGACCCCATGCACCAGGTTCCACTGTCTGTGGAATTTTCCAGGCAAGCATACTGGAGTGGGTAGCCATTCCCTTCTCCAGGGTGCCTTCCTGACCCAGGGATCAAACCCAGGTCTCCTGCATTACAGGCAGATTCTTTACCGTCTGAGCCACAAGTGAAGCTGTGATTGTAATGTAAGTTCTTGGCAATTTAAAAAGATAAACAACCACTGAAAGAATAAAAGAGAACTCATTACATTATCTTCTCAGTAACTGAAGATTTGAATAGTGTCTATTTTATGTTATTATAAACACCCACACCAAGTACTCAGAAGAGGAAAATGGGGCCTTACCTCAGTCACGACGGTGGAGGAGAACAAGCTATGGTCATACACCCAGCCGTCCACACAGGGCTCCGTGTCCAGGTCAGTCATGTTGGGGAAGGTCCCATTCAGGTGAAGGAGCTGCCACTGCGGGTGGAGGAAGCGGCGACACTTCTCTGGCTTCAAGTTTGAGTCCAGTGGGATGGAGATTCTCAGGAGGACATCAGGGCTGAGGATCCCAGTGGCATTATCCAGGATGTAGACCCAGCAGCGATGACCAGGAATGGCGGCAGTGAAGTTCTCCAACAGTATATGACAGGCTGCTATCCCAACAAGAGGAAGAGCTAAAACCATCTGAAGGATCTGGAATTTTCCCAGGCCACCAACTTCGTTAAGGAGCTCCTCAAAAGCCATCGTGAAGAGGCAAAGGGAGGGAAATTTTTCCTTTCATTAATTCACATGGAATCCATGTGACCTCACACCCGTTTGTCATCAACAGTTCTTGTCACTTCACAGTATGGAAGCAGTTTCCTCAGTCCTTCTGGAGTCACGAGGTATTGGCTTTTTAGTACCATCATAGAGAAAATTATTTACCAAAGATTCCTCTATCTGATGAACACTAAATCTGTTTAAAGGTTTACTCACTTAATGCGCTTGTCCTCAGTGATTTCGTAAAATCAACACTGGACTTTGACATGAACATGGTTTTTAGATAATCTAAAATAAACCTGCTACACAATCTTCAGTCATTTTTGGAAAATAGAATTTGAGAGATACAGAAGGGAACTGCACTATGGATTTTCAGTGGAAAGTACAGAAAGTGAGTGATTTCTTGTTTATACTGACTTTAGGCTATAATAATTAACAAAATATAATCCCTTGTTTCTAATTAAAGCAAAGTGAGTTGTGATACAATTACTAACTTTGAGCCACTGCTATTGTGCTTCAGTTTCAATCACACTAGGAATGCACAATGATTTTTAAATCCTTCAAATAAAGATACTGAAGAAAGGCAGTGGTAAGATCACCTAAGGGTTTATCTTCTGAGGTTTTCACTTACAGAATATATTAAGGGTCTTTTGTGTGCTACGGGTCAGAACCCTGATGAACTGATTATTTTATCAAAATGTGCCCGGCCTCGTTATCTCTAGTAATGCTCCACTATACCTACATGAGTATATATTTACTCACTTTAATATAACAATTCCAAGTTTTGTATACTTACAGTTTACAAGCTACAACTTTCCAATCCTCTATGTTTTAAAAAGTTTTTATTCATTTATTTATTTTTGGCTGTGCTGGGTCTTCATTGCTGCCCTTGGGCTCTCTCTAAGCTGTGGTGAGCAGATGCTACTCTTCAGATGATGTGTGGGCTTTTCACTGTGGTGCTTCCCTAGGAGCACAGTCTCTAGGGCTTCAGCAGTCACAGCGCAGGAGTTCAGTCGTTGTGGTGCTTGGGCTTGCTCCACAGCATGTAGAAACTTCTAGGCCCAGGGATTGAATCCATGCCCCCTGTATTGGCAGACAGCTTCCTATCCACTGTACCACTAGGGAAGTTCCCCGTTTATACTTCTAATTGAAATGTTTATTGATATTATTGAAGATTCATTGCAGGAACAAGAAAAATATAATGTATGTGCACTTCACTCAGTTTCCCCCAAAAATAATATTTATAAAATGATAATGTGATAATCACAGCTAACATATTGACAGGTACACTGCCTCCTGATCTTATTCAGGTTTTCCCAGTTTCTCCTGTACTTATATTTGTGTGTTCTTGTACTTAGTACCATAGTTTTGTCATCTGTATATCTTCCTGTGCCCATCACCAGAGTCAAGATACTAAAGAATTCCCTCTCCACAGGAATCCTGAATTTTGTACTATTAGAAATATGCCACCTCCCCTTGCTCCCGTCATTCCCTTTCCTCCCTTTGTCATCTAGTAATCTCTTTTCTGTTATTTTACCTCTGTCATTTTAAAGTTGTTATGTACGTTACCGGAGAAGGCAATGGCACCCCACTCCAGTACTCGTGCCTGGAAAATCCCATGGACGGAGGAGCCTGGTGGGCTGCAGTCCATGGGGTCTCTAAGAGCTGGACATGACTGAGTGACTTCCCTTTCACTTTCCACTTTCATGCACTGGAGAAGGAAATGGCAACCCACTCCAGTGTTCTTGCGTGGAGGATCCCAGGGATGGGAGAGCCTGGTGGGCTGCCGTCTGTGGGGTCACACAGAGTCAGACATGACTGAAGTGACTTAGCAGCAGCAGCAGCATGTACATTACCATTCTCTCCTTCTTTCCCCTAATGGTAATGTATATAACAACTTTTAAAGGAGACGAGGGTGACAGAGGATGAGATAGTTGGATGGCATCACCAACCCAATGGACATGAACTTGGGCAAACTCTGGGAGGTGGTGAGGGACAGGGAGGCTTGGTGTGCTGCAGTCCATGGGGTCACGAAGAGTCAGCCACAACTTGGTGACTAAACAGCAACATATACATTACCACATGCAAAATAGATAGCCCGTGGGAACTTGCTCTATGATGCAGGGAGCTCAAACTGGTGCTCCGTGACAACCTAGTGAGATGGGATGGGGCTGGAGGTGGGGGAGAGGCTCCAAAGGGAGGGGACATACGTATGCCTATGGCTGATTCATGTTGATGTATGGCAGGAACCAACACAATTTTGTAAAGCAATTATCCTCCAGTTAAAAATAAATAAATTTAAAAATGATAATAAAAACTCAGAAGTCTAAGAGATTAAATGTCCATCAAAAGAGAAGTTATTGGATCAATAATAATATTTCTTTCTAATAAAATGAAGTTATTGAAAAATTTTTTTAAATGCAAAAAAAATTTTTTTAATAAATAAAAGTTGTTATATAGAAGGGAGTGATCAAAGTGGAATAGTAGGAGGAGGTGGAGCTCAGCTGTCCTTATAAACATGTGAAAAATACATCAACATGTGGGACAATTCTTACAAAATATTAACTGGAACTTGTCAGAAGAACTCCTATACAACCAAAGATACAAGACAGATTTCCACATAACAGAGGAGGACAGAGGAAAGGCGTAGGGTCAGGATCCCAGCCCAGGAAAGGAGTCTTAAAGTCAGAGAAGTTTTTCAGGGGCAGGCCCTCACTCTGGGGATCTAGCTGGCTGAGTCACAGCCTGGAAATCCCAGTCCAGGGGCCCTGTGTGGATGGAACAAGCCCCCTTGGTTGCTGGGAGAATGACTGGGACAAAGAGATGGGCTGGAGGTGTCTTGATGCTACATACAAGGGAGCACACATTTTGGCTCCAACAGTGAAGATGGACAGAGAGCTTCGCCCTGGCTGCTGCCTCCTCACCACACTCCCCAGGCTGAGTGGGGCCAAGGCTCCAGCCCCAATTACTCCACAGCATGGTTTAGTTCTGGATCTGGGGCAGAGAGATCCCAGGGGAAAACACCCAGGGAGGCAGCCCATACAACAGAAAGCAGTGCAGCCACCACAGTGCCATGACTCCAAGCCCAGCCTAGCAAACGCGTCAGCCTGCGCACGCCACATCACAGTCTTCCACTAAGCTCTGAGATGGACACTTCAGGGAAAAGGATGCAGCCTTGGGCTGCATGTGAGCAGAGCTGTGGATGCCAGCACAGAAAGTGCCTTCCCTGTGAGCACATGGGCCTCAGTCGCGTCAGTGCCCCCCTCTTCTGGGCAGGCATGTACTCATGGGGAAAGGAACTGGATTCCACTTGACTTTCAGGGCTTCTACTCCAAAAACTGGGACATGTCAGACTTGTCCATGAGAGCATGTTGACAGGCATGGAGCAGACGTAATTCCTGCCTCACTTGGGACAGGCTTTAGGTCACCCCCAAACAAATTCAACACCCTGAGGGAAGACAGGCTAGCATCCATTATAAACCTCTCCTTCACACAGTCTTCCCAGGGATGCTGCCACCTAAAACACCCCTTCAACAGCACAATAGATAATGGCTTCTCCTAAATTCAGAGAAAGAGAAAGTTAAGTAGAATGAAAATTCAGAGGAAACTTCCGAAAGAGCAAATAACGAAACAGACCTCACCAGTCTACTATAATCCAAGTTCTGAAAGAAAGTAATAAAGATGCTAAAGAAATTAAGAAAGAGTATCAATAGAAACATAGATCATTGTAACAAGGAACTAGAAACTATATAGTAACCCTT